CTGGTCTTGAACTCCTGACCTCAAGTGATTTGCCCGCCTTGGGCTCCCAAAGTGCTGGGATTACAGGCATGCGCCACCATGCCTGGCCTCATAGATCTATTTTTAATCCCTCCAGCTCTAGAAAATCATATGGGGAAAAGAATTAATATATACTATACACAGACATTCATTCTTGGTGCTGCACTGCAACATAACCTATCTGTGTTGCAGTATCTAACATCTCACACTGTATGTTTATTCATGTCTTTGGTTAATACCTATGTCATTTTAGTCTACTAAGATTCAATTAATATCAATAAAAATAAAATAATAATAGTAAAGTCATAATATTTTATGCTTATATCATTTGTTTCCTGAGAGGTCACAAAACTATAATGATATTATTTTATGACTCATCTTTGCTAACCTGCCTGTTATTCCCTTGAGTGGACGTACACATTTATACTAAAATATCATTCCTTGTCTGGGAGCGGTGGCTCACACCTGTACTCCCAGCACTTTGGCAGACTGAGGTGGGTGGATCACTTGAGGTCAGGAATTCAAGACCAGCCTGGCCAACGTGGTAAAACTCTGTCTCTACAAAAAATACAAAAATTAGCCGGGGTTGGTGGAGTGTGCCTGTAGTCCCAGGTACTCTGGAGACTGAGGCAGGTGAATTGCTTAAACCCAGGAGGCGGAGACTGCAGTCAGTGAGCCGAGACTGCGCCACTGCACTCCAGCTTGGGCGACAGAGTGAGACTGTCTCAAAATAAAACAAATTAAAAATAAAATAAAATAAAATATCATTTCTTGTGTATGTGAAATTCAAATTTAACTGGGGCCAGGTGTGGTGGCTCATGCCTATAATCCCAGCACTTTGGAAGGCCAAGACAGAAGAATCACTTGAAGCCAGGAGTTATAGAGACCAGGTTGGGCAACACAGCAAATGCCTATTCTTTAAAAAAAAAAAAAAAAAATTAAACTAAATAATAAAACTAGGCCGGGTGCGGTGGCTCACTCCTGTAATCCCAGGCAGAGGCAGGCAGGTCACTTGAGCTCAGGAGTTCAAGACCAGCCTGGGCTATATGATGAAACCTCATCTCTACAAAAAACTTTAAAAAATTAGCCAGGCACGGTGGCACCGCCTGTAGTCCCAGCTACTCAGGAGGCTGAGGTGGGAGGATCACTTGAGCCTGGGAGATCAAGGCTGCAGTGAGCGGTGATTGCGCCAACGTGGGTGACAAAGTAAGACCTTACCTCAAAAAAAAAAGTAAAAAAAAAAAATTAAAAAAAATAAAAAACAAAAATAACTAGGAGCCCTTAACTGGCCCCTAGTTCCCAGTCCAAGCCTTCCCTGTATCTGGGCTCTAAGTGTGATTCAGCAGGCTGAGGATACTGCCCATGTCCTGAAGGCTGAGCTGTCATATTTCTGTCATCCTTATCCCCTTATCCCACCCCTAGAGATTCCATCTGGCATGGCAGGAACAGTTTTTGGGGCACAGTCTTGAGTTCAAATCCCACCCCTTCTTTTAAATGGCATCACGATTTGTGGAGAGTTGCTCAAGCCCTTTGCACTTCCGTTTCCTCATCCGTAACACAGGGCAAAAACTAGAGACCCAAACTCACAAGGTTGTTGTGAGGTTTGCATGAGAGGATGCGTGAAAAGCACTTCGCAGAGCCAAAATATGAGCCTGAAGTTCGTGTCTGCAGAGGTTAATGCAAGAGAATTACTCCTGGGGCTGCCTTCAGTGTCACTGGAAGAAGTGAAAACCATCACAAAGCTTGGGTTGGGGGGACAGTAAACCAGAGAGACCGGGAATTCTAGTTTTTGGTAGCAGGAGGTTTGGAGCCCTTTAAAAGAAAGTTACTTCTGGTTGTTGTTGTTGTGTGTGGTTTTTTCTTTATTTTTTTTGGGTCAGTGTTTTCCTTGCGAATGAAACTGACTCTGTGAAGGTGATGTCAGATGAGAGATTGAACGATTCCGCCTGGGCAGCTACAAGGTAGAGGCGGCGTTCTGTGAACACTCAGAAGCTCTTCCTGATTTCCTCCTCAGCCCGAGTAGAAGTCTGAGCTGACTGAGATATCCACATGCTTTCCTTCCGGGCAAAACAAAACCTTTCACCATGCCTTTTCTACATCTCCCAGGGCCTCCACAACTCCCGTGATCCAAGACCTGCTCGAAATGCCAAAGTTACCTATTGTTAAATATTTTCAAAGCAGCGGAGGCAGTCCTGCCAACTCTGTCCCGCTGTCTCCAAGAGCTAAGGCCAACAGCCCAAGGGTCCTTGCCAATTTCCTGGAGAAGGGGGGTGTTACAGTTAAGTGGGGTGGGATCTTAAAGGGCCAGAGCCAATATTAGGGCTTCAGGCTGCCAGGTCTTCTGTCATTAGTGGGGACAGGTGGTGTCTCCTCCCTTGGTTCCTCACCCAAGCAGTTATTGTCTGCTTGTCTGATAGATGCGGTCTGGGAGGAGCTTCTGCCGGCTCACCTCTAGATAACGGTGTGGAAAACACAGCCTTTGCTTCTTCCTGGAGACACAGTCTTGACCCTTGAGCTGGAAAGAAGAGGCTGGTTCCAGGGAGGGAATAGGCCGTAGTCTCAGTCAACTTCTTTCTTTCTTTCTCTCTCTTTCTTTTCTTTTCTTTTCCTTCCTTCCTTCCTTCCTTCCTTCCTTCCTTCCTTCCTTCCTTCCTTCCTTC